GCGCAGCCAAGGTGTTGAGGGGATCCGTTTTGGTGGCCTTAGGATTGCGTCTCTGCTTTTTGCAGATGATGTGGTCCTATTGGCTTCATCAGATCGTGATCTACAGCTTTCACTGGAGCGGTTTGCAGCCGACTGCGACGCGGCCGGGATGGAGATCAGTTCCTACAAATCCGAGGCCACGGTCTCGAGCCGGAAAAGGGTAGAGTGCCCTCTCCGGGTCAGGGAGGAGGTCCTACCGCAAGTGGAGGAGTTCAAGTATCTTGGGGTCTTGTTCACGAATGAGGGAAAAATGGAGCGTGAGATCGATAGGCGGATAGGTGCAGCGTCTGCAGTGAAGTAGGCGCTGTACAGGTCTGTCGTGGTGAAGAGAGAGCGGAGTCAAAAGGTGAAGCTCTCAATTTACCGATAGATCTACGTTCCCACCCTCATCTATGGTCACGAGCTTTGGGTTGTGACCGAAAGAATGAGATCTCGGATACAAGCGGCCGAAATGAGTTTTCTCCGCAGGGTGTCTGGGCTCTCCCTATAGGATTTATGAAAAAGGAAAGTCTTAATCCCAGTCTTCAAACTGGACAATGTGTCAGCCTCATGGACAGAAACTGGAAGTTGGTTCCACAAGAGAGGAGCCTGAGAACTAGAAGATCTTCCTCCCATTCTGCTGCTGGAAACTCTAGGAACCACAAGTAAACCTGCAGTCTGAGGGAACAGTGCTCTGTTAGGAAAATATGGAACAACAAGTTCTGTAATGTAAGATGGAGCTAGGTTGTTGAGAGCTTTGTAGGTTAGAAGTAAGATTTTGAATTCGGTTCTTAGTTTTTCCCTGAATTACAATTCATGTTTTAATAACTGAACTGTATTTTTCTTTTTTTCTTTTTTAATGCGTCTCACTCAAAATTACAATAATTCGTAGGTGTTTGTACTGTGCACGTGAGTTGTTCTACAGTAATAGCTCATCATCCATGCTGAGGAACACACACACTGACAGAGTCGGCGCTTCACTCATGCTCGTGAGGTCCTTATGGCTCCACTTGTCCATCAAATGTCTTCGTCACTGAATCTTTGAATGTTTTGGCAGCACACTTGTAAGAGAAGCTTCGTGAGGCTTCACTAATGCTAGCTTTATTATTTTAGACATGCTGCTGTACTGAGGACCCAAGGTGGTGCCGCTTCTTCTGCCTCTAGTTCTCGTTCTGGTTCAAGAAACCCCAGACCAGTTTCGAATGGTGTGAGTTCAAGTGGCAGGGCTCACAGCACTGGGTGAGTATTATCTTGTAATTATTTAATAATTATTCAGCTTTCCAAACTCGGCGTCCTGATTCATACATTTTGTTTCTCTTTTCTTTCCAGCTCTCTTCAGCAGGTTCCTACTTGGGTTTCAGCACCGAACCTAATACCACCCTCAGCGTCATTTCAGGCTAGCATGGTAGTCACATCACCTGGCACCTTAAATAAACCTTGCTCATAAGCCCAACACGTTAACAACGACCATGCTGCTCTGATGTTTGGTTTGCAGACGGAGGAGCAGGCTTTCCAAAGAGCGCTGGAGAGGTCTTTGGCTGACTCGAAGCCTGACCCCAAGCCTGACCCCAAGCCGATTCTAAGGTGACTCACCTCCAGCTTCCTGTCGTTTCTGCCTGTGCTTTCTGTTCAACCTGTGCTTGTTGAAAGAATCTCATTTACAAATTGTACAGTTGTCATTAATCAGATGTACGTTTACAACTTAAATGTTAAGTCTTGCACTCTCAGTATAAAGCTGGATTTGTGGTTTGAGTTTGGAACCAACACTTGTGCTGTTGAATCTGTTGAACTGTCCAATAGAAGAGAGTTCTTACAGGAGACCAAAAGTCCAGCCTGTAACATTTTACAAAACTCCTTAATAACACTCAGATTTATAATGGAAATCTTGTTAATCTTTGTGTGAAAATGTTTTAGCTAGCAGATTGCCTTCAGTGAAGACTTTGACTTTCAGCCTTCCATGAAGCCCAGTCAAACTGAGTCATTTTAAATGTTTCTTCTAACCACTACATTGACCTGATGATGTCATTCAATAATGAAGAAAAGCTTCTCAGTTTGCTTCATTCTATAACATACATGAGCTCTTGCTGATATTCTTATTGACGTTTTCTCGAGTTTCCTTAAGAAAGTATTAAAGCTGGATACATACTAAACCAGTGATTTGAATATCATGAAGTTCTCCTTGTCCTCCAGCTTTTGTTGAGCGTTCACATTTTGGACTGGTATTTATTGAAGAACACACTAGACTTACTCTATTTTTCTTAAAGTCCTAAGAACAAAAACACTTTTTATTCAAGTGTGCACTGAGCCCAAAGAAAACGCGTATGAGAAATTAATATTCTTACAGGCCTAACATTTCTCAAAAGAATGTTATTTATGTTGTGTTGTTCGTCATATGCAGGTTAGCACGGTGCAACAAAATGTTCATGATCCCAAGAACCAATTGGACTCGCTAAAAACAAACAAGAAATACTGACAACGTGCAATAACGTACAAAATAAAGTACCAAAAAGTTGAAAGAAATGTATAATATTTACTAGGTCCAAAAGAAATGTAGTAAATAACAACATGGTAGAATATAATGGAGCAAGTACGGTGAATTAGTTTAAATAAATATTTCACAGGTGGTAGTATAATCCTAAATGCACATGATCTATATTGCACATAACTAACATATTAACATATACGCAGGTTGTGTGGCAGGTAATTGCACAGGTAGTGAAGAACATTGAGAAGAGTATGATTGTAAGGTAGTGGCATGCATGATGCAGCCACAGTGCAGCAGCAAGAAACATATTTTATTAATTCAATTCAATTTATTTCTAAAGCTCCAAGTCCCGACAGAAGTCGTCTCAGGGTCTGAACAGAAACGTTCATCTATAAAATAATAATTGAACAGAAACATTC